TCCTGAACGAAACGATACAAAATAACACCAATTCGTTACAAATACTTACAGTATTTTATGAAATTTCTGACGAAAAATCATTCGATTCGCCATATCAAACTAGACGAAATCTCTAATTTTATAAACTTAAAATGAAACAATCAATCACTCGATAAATCAGAGAAAGAGAACTAAAAAGCAGTTTACCCTGTCACTAAGATGCACGGCAATGAGTGTACGAATCGGCAGTAATGAATCTTCTTTGCCAATCAAAAACTCTTTGATCAGTTCCGGCGAGATCGCCAAAGCATAACACAACACTGGCACTATCCAGTCAGCAGATAACAACAATATCAAATGCCTCAAAACTCCACACAGAACTGCGGATATATCCCCGTCTGGCGTTGATGACGAGCAATCTTCCTGCAAACTCGACGAATCTCATTTCTGATTTATTTGCTACTCTATTTTGAAAGTCACTAGTAAGCAATAAAACCGCTCGAAAATCTCCCAGAAAATATCACGTTTGATAAACAATAAGCAAATTTCATCGTTGAGTAAAAATCACCTCGGAAGCGATTCGTGCAGCGATCAGTAAACAACGAATATCACGGCCGAGCTGACACACAGATGCGGATTCTGCTCTTTGTATAGAGACTGCCAACTTCCTGAAGTGAAATATTTCAGTCTTTCGGAGTTGGAGTTCGGTGTTGGTTATTTTTATGGAATATCGATTCAGTTTCGCACAAATATGCAAAATGAATCACCAATTATCAAAAAAAAATTCACCCAAAAAATCAACCTTCAATAATATTCTAGTTCAAAAGTTTTTAAGACTTGGTTACACGACACCTAAAACGAAAGACAAAGCAATAAAACAAAAACAATTGAGGAAAATAAGTGGACTATTTTTGATTCACTAATTCCTCTTCGTCTTTCAAAAATGGAACGGAAACCAAACGTGGACAATAAAATCTCTAATGAATCGCACTAAATGATGAGAAATCAGATTGGTACGGACGGACATTCACATGTGATAATGATATGATTCAATAATGGTATATGATAACGAAAAGTAATTAAAAGTATGAAACCGAACATGAAAAGTTTTTGACAGACATCGCTCCACTGTGGTTCAGCACAAATTTGATTGATTAATTCGAAGAGGTTTCGTTCCTTAAGTGACGCCACTTGTTCCACAACTCCGTGCTTCGATGCAGTCAGCATTGTTGGCCACATATTTCCAACGTCCATCGTGTTCAACAACTTAATTCACATCATTCCGTTCACCCAGTCAAATTCTATTTCAACTACGCCAATCAACAAAGTCAAAATATCACAAAAATCATCACATGATATGTCAATTTTTTTGTGAATATGAAACGAGAATCTTTTCCCGTCTACAAATGATACGGACTGACCTTAATAATACAAGCGACAATACGATCACTGCTCAGTTGGCTGATCGGTGCTTCACGGAACCTTTTAACGATAACTGCGAGCGTTGATCGAGCGACGACCATCTCGTCTAATAAGTGCATCACAAGCGATTCTGTCATCGCCTCATTTGACTTGTTCTTAGTCTACAATTGATTACATTCAACCATCTATTTCTTCACAACGAATAATATCGTTATTGCAGAATTACCATTTATATTATCACTGACAATAATGTAATGTAGCTTAAAGATGATGGGAGCAACGAGTAGTGATAAGGATAATAAACAATAAAATACCCGATTGAGTTGGGGGTGAGACCGGATTGGCTGGCGAGAAATCGGTTGAGATAGCAGAATCGTTGTGGATGGAGCGGCCGTTTTCTTTTGGGACACACTCTTTACCGACGATGCAGCAGTGGCAGTGGTAATCTTCGGCTGATGCGCCTTCCTGTCAACACCTTCTGCATCCAACTTCGTCAACTTTTTCGCATTAATCGGTGACTCATCTTTCTATAATACGCACAAATTGGATTTATGAGACGATAGTTTTGAATAATGCAAAGTAAACAATCAAATAACAATCTTACAAAACAGTTATGGAATCGATATTACGTTTCACGCACCAATACGAATAGAAAATGGACCTAAAAATACGTTCAACTGAATTTGAAGAGAGGAGAAATCTCGAACTGACGCGCAAAATTTATGGCACAATATGAATGGGTAAATGGAAACAACGAATACTGCTAACTTTTCGCTTCGTTGGCAGTTTCGTTTGTTTCTGTGGTATAACGCCGCCTCTTGGCAAGGATTTCGATAGGAGTTTGTGCATTTTCTTATACATTTCTCCTTTACCGCTTGATAGACGTGGACCGCTCACCTACAAATCAACATTTTTATGATGCATCTTTCAGCCGAATCCAAAGAATCGCGGAATTGTTACATTATACTGCTGAAAGTAATCGTTTTAGTTAAATTTCAACTCGAAAATGGGCTGATTATTTGTTTGTAACCAACAAAACATTTCCTCGAAGGATTAAAACACTGAAAAAATCTAACATGCTCATTTAAAAGGCAAAAAACATATTTACATATGTTTTTAAAAGCAGTTGAATGGATGAATTTTATTGAAAACTAACTATAACTTTTCGAACATGTTCATTTGTGACCGATGCGGTGGACGACTTCTTCGTGGTCGATTCGGTATCTACAATTGGAAACAAACAAACATTACAACTCTAAAAACTTCAACTGAACAATCTGTCGTTCGGAAATGAATGTGAAATAAAAGTTCGGTTGTTTACACTGAAACTACAACAGAAACTCATCGAACAAACGAGCAATCATAACATTAAAAAGAAATATTGAAATTGGATCATACTGGCACCAAAACGGAATGAAACCTGTTTTCACTGAATGAGAATTTTTTGTGATATTTTCCAATAGATCTGAATCTGACCTGATGAAATATGATCTGAGCTTGATGCAGTCACCGAATCGTTATTAATTTCACCGATTTCGATTTTCAGTGCATTTTCTTCATTATCGCTCTCACTATCACTTACTGTCGGAAGTGCACTAGTCGATCCTAAAAATGTTTCATCTTCGCAAAGTTATCCAGAAAACAATTTGAAAAGTCAAAGAATGTGAATGAATTAAAAATCTTGATTTCACACGAGTCTGAAAAGCGAACTAGGAATCGATTTTATAACAACAATTGAAATGAACAGCAAAGTGAACAGATACGAAATAATTTAACCGAAATGATTGGAATATAGAAAATTAAAAATTCCAAATGAATAACACAAAATTACCAAAAATATCAT